TAAATTGTTAAATTCATCAATTCTAATGTGAATGCAGTAGGGAAGTAAAGCACTGTGGTTTTAGATAATTTTTGAGTAAGTTATTCATATGAATAAAAATGATTCTTGTATTTAAACTTCTATTCCATATTAAGATAGAACTTTAAATTAATGTAGAATGAACTAATAACTGGACAACTTGAAATTAACGAGAAAATTAGATTTTTGTAGCTTAGTTTACCAGAGATGAGATCACTTGGAGTCACGTGATATGAACTAGCAAATCAGGATGCTGTACCATGAAAGCATAGTAAATTCTTAAATTAATATCGTTTTACAAATTTATTGTGTTTATTCATTGCCTTTTTACAAAATTTTAAATGATATTAATATGTTTATACCTTCAAAATAAAAAATCCTTTGAACTAACATTTGTTAACATGTTTCAAGTATATACCGTGTGTTGTCGCCAATAAAGTCTGCTTGGCGAGATTTGTGCCAGAGAAACCGAAAATACTACCTTGCACTCATTTAGAATTTATTTTTTTCAGTTACCATGTAGTCAGTGATCAGTTATTGCGATGACTGTTGTTTCACTAGATATTTGTATTTGTCACGATAGCCAAATATACAAGATTGAAGCTACTTTTGGAATTTTGAAGTTCTTTCAGAATTGGCATCGATGGCAAGAAAATGACTTTATCCAATTTATGGCAAAGTTGGAGTCCTGCATAGATTTAATCTGCTGTCATATAATTGTAAAATTACAGTCAAAAGTCGTTAATTCAAACACCCATAATCCGGAATGATCTATAATCCGGACCTCAAAGCTACAAACTTTCTGCGCATGCGTCGCATTCACGCTTGCGCACAGGCGTTTATGAGTGCGCGTAAAACCTTTACGGGCTGTGCGAATATGTTTGTGCGCATGCGGTGTAACGAATGTATAAACTAGCTAAAATGATTAATTAGTTAATGACATATTGCGTGTTCCTTAATCTTGTATTGGATCCGGCTTATTATTTTTTGCACTGTTAGAGCAATTTCAAAAAGTAAGCTTGAACTCTCGATTATGTAAATAGAATTTCTGATAATTTACTAATATGTAATTTGTGTCTACAGCGAAAAGTATGTTTTGAAATCCGAAATCTGTTATCAATTTCACGCTGCGAATGGGAATTGATCTGTCACACTATCCTATCTTCAGGCAGATGTTTTTATTTTATTTGGCTTATAATTCCTTACTAAGTGTAGTATTCATCTCGATATATTTAAATCAATTCCTCGTCATATATTCGCTTTCGATAGGAAGAAAGTGACCCAGAGGTTATTGAACGAAAACTTTCGATTGACAAATTAGTCGGTATTCTCAAACACAGCAATTATAGGATGAAACAGCGGAAACTTTGTAACTAAACAAGAAATTATGTGGTTTAATAGAATTTAAGAGAAAGTTTATCATGAAAAAGCAACTTACTTGAAAGAAATGTTTTAATAAAGTAAACAAATAAAATTAAGCTTTCTTTTTGTAAAATTTTGATACCCTTAGCTCCTAATTGTTCTTTATTCATAAATTACGGTTTCATTTTTAATTTTGTAATTTCTGCATGCATTACCAGATTTAACTGATGATCTATAATCCAGAAAAATCGATAGTCCGGAATCGCCGAAGTCCCGACGAGTCCGGATTAACGACTTTTGACTGTATAGGTAAAAGTATATTTTAGGGTACCCCTTGCGAAACTTGGCGGTACATGGATACCGAGTTTGTGCAATTCTTTGACTTTTTATTTTGGCCTACATAGCGGCGATTTTAGCGGCTACATAGCGAGCAAAACTTGCAAGCTAAAATAACAAGTCAAAGAATTGCACAAATTCGGTATCCAAGTACACATCGACCTACTTAAAAAAAAAAAAAATTCCCAAATTGCACAAACTATGCTTTACACACTCCCTTGAGTTTGTCCTTAAAATTTTCACTTAAAAAGTCAAAGGAGCACCCAATTCTACAGTACAGGCAAAAAAATTACATAATCTCAATAAACTACATTTTAAACCAAACAATAAAATAACACAAAAAAGGAAAAACCTGTTATGTATTTTAGCACTACACAACGCAAATATCTCCTTACCTTATTTAGAAATTTGTTGGTCTTCAGTCTGTGGCACAAAAAACTCCTCAACAGCATTATAAAATTATCTGAACTACAATCCGTATATTGGCGTCGCCACAGAAATTCACAAAAATAAAGAGTAAAAAATATACGTAGTTCCGGACTATAATACTAAGTAAATTCATTTACACACCAGTAAATTAAGCACTTTCCCTTTCGTTACAAATCGTACAGAAACTTCAAATTAACTATATTCAGCCATGTACTGTCTAAACAATGAAACAAGCAATGTACTTCCTAACACAAACACACCACAAAAGCCCTTGCAAAACATCCCATGATTCAAAATTTCCCAGAATAATGCAAACGATTACATTATAATAGGGTTTCCACAACATTCAACTAGGCAGGTTACCATAAACAAAACAACAACTTGGTGATAAATGAAACAACATCTTTGTGATAATACAAGGGGTTCCTTAAAGTCAACTCTAACCAAATTATGATTCAATTTGACTGAAATTTTCATATACCGCATAAATAAAATATCTCATAAAAACAGGTTTCAGTGTACAAGAAAAAATTTAGATAATGTTAAATGTTCTAACAAACTTCATAAAAGCTGCTTTCTTGTGGTTATGGCATTGAGATCAATGTTTATGTTCCAAAGGAAATTACTTAAGTGGTACAAAAGAATAAGCTGTATTGCTATTTAATGCAAGTTTCTACGCAGAATACCTTTTTAAATCAACCCATGAACAGCTATATTTAACTCTTTGAAAACAGAAGTCTTTGCTAACCTGTATCTTAAAATACCGAGCACCCAAAATGGTTTCCCACAATCACAGCAATTTCCTCCCCTCCCAATTAATGCACAAAGAAGAGTGAAGATTTCAAATGACATCCTTTCTACTTCTAACAAATAAAGACAAGAAACCACAAATAAGTTCTTTTAGGACAAGCTGTCTGCAATAAACTGATAAAATGCACTTGGGGAAGCTGCACCTGCTATTGCATACCTTAGGGGATGAAAGAAAACAACACCAGAATTTCGGCTGCTTTGGGATTTTGCATAAAAACTTATTTTACTTTTTTCATATCTTTCCATTCTTAAGGATGATTTTTGGATTATTATAGAAAATAAGAATTTTGGATTATTATACAACATAAAGTGAATCCTTCCATAATGACCAAAAAGTAACAATATTTCCGAAAATATAATCAAAAATCAGTATTAATAATTAAAATATTCTCCTCTAAGAAAAACTATTCCCTAACCCAACCAAGACTATCAAAAACATCTTAATTTTAGTATCAAATAAAACATAATAGACTTTTTAAAAATTTAATGAATTTTGATCTTTTCCAAATACGAATGCCAGAACAGATAAATGTATGTAATGAACAGATAAACAAAATTTTTTTTTTCATTAAGATAATACAATTATTTTTGGTGCCTTGTTTATTTTAAACCATATCTACAACAATACATTAACATACAATTGTACAACTAAAAATACTGATGTTCAATAATTAAACAGAAATCTGTGAGAGCACTAACCATTTTCATTGATGTGGGAAATATGGCACAATTTATGAACTATAAAGTTTTCAACAAAATAACGTTTATTGCATAATAGTGTCTGCATATGATTTTCATTTAACACTTTCTAAATTACCTTTCAAAACAGCCTCAACAAATTACTGAGTAAACTTTAAATTTCTGGATTCATTATTAGAAACTCCTCCTCCCCCCCCTTTTTTTTTTTTTCTTTTTTAAATATTTAAGAAGACCGTTTTCTATAACTTCTATAAACCTCTAAAGCAATAAAATGTTTACTACATACCAATTTACAGTTTACCTAATTTAAAAGAAGCTGATAAAAGTTATAAGAAACCAGAATTCATACTACATACACTGACAGCTCTGTACATGTGAAAGAGTACATCTTTGGTATTTCATGGAATTAGTTATGTCACACCTTTTGTTCAAATGCAATACTCACATAATGCCTGTTCATTGCTAACAAAACATTAGCAAAATAAGCTTTTATATTTGTATGGTAACTTTCCTAAATGCAAAATATTAAGAATCATCGCCACTTTTTTTTACCTCAAATGTTTATTATATATAATGATCAACACAGTTTTCTACAAAAATAATTAATCTTTCACTTTTAATACACTAAATATTTTAAAATATACGGTTTCTTCAAATACTTTAAAATTTCAGATTTTAATAATTATTTTCATTTCCTAATATACAGCCTTATTTGAATTCAAAACACTTATTTTTTTTTTTTTAATTAATCAATTCAAAAATCAAGATAAGACGATTTTAAGATAGGGCATTCTAAGTTTATAACTGCACCAAGCACGGAAATAAGCTGAAATAGTCATAATCAGTTTTTAATATAACACATTAATATTAATCATTACCTGAATACAGTATGTTATTTAATTTTGAAGATATTCGCGATTTGTTAAATATATTTTCAATTTGTTCATATTTTTTTAATTTAGAAAATACTTTGCTCCACATTCACTACAGCTGCAATCAAAAACATTTACTTTTTAAAATCAATTAATGAAATTATTAGTAAGCGTATGATCGGAAATTTCTTCTGAAGTTTTGTCTAAATTTATTGTTATGATTACTGTTACTTATACAAGATACGATGATTACTGCGTTACAAACGATACATTTTTGTGAATTCAACATGAAAATTCCCAAACAGAAAAACAAAATAAAAAGAAAATACATTATGCAACAACTTTTTTTTTTTTTTGAAACAAAAATACAGCCACAGATATTATATACAAATGTTTTTATTTCACTAGGAATCGACAATAAAGAAACTAACGATGCAGCAAATACTAATTATTTACACATGCTATTCCACTTACAGGAATGCATGAATTTTCCCACTAACAAGGACGCCATTATTAAGATGTCTGACGTTGCCTTGTCAGCAACTAGAAACAATGATCGTCTAATTTTGTTTTAACATTTTTACAACTTAATCACTATTAAACCCCAAATTTAACAAGTATAAATGAAAGGGATAATAACCCTACATCACTAAGTGATAGTAGGCTGAAGAACCGGCTGAACATGAAAGGACTGTACCAAAAGGACAAAAGGAAACGAGGGTGGGGAAGAAAGAAAAGTGAGTAGTGGGTACTGTTCACAGCATAAACATTACGTCTTAAGATGCATTTTAATGTCGAATGCTGGTCAAAATAAAGTTATAAATGCTCACCTCTGTTTAAGGAGTAACTGAAGCATGAAGAAAAATAATTTATTAGACTCAATCTTAGAGCAAATATGCATATCCCACCTTGCTCACAACACCTTCACCCACTAATTCACGTCAAATTCCGTGATGTTACGAGATTTCATTTTCCACGGAAAGATGGCGCTACCCTGACCTGATTTCAGCCATTGTCAAAACATAAACAAGGGAATAAAATTGGGTTCCTTGATCATACACTCCAAGATTTCGAATATTGATGTAACAAAAAAGAAAAAAGCTACATTACTGTAAAATCTGATAGCATTCTATTTTTATTAAACTAATTTTAAGAATTTTGCGCATATTAATATTATAAAATAATACATTATATATCCAAATCAAGCTAAAACTTTAATAAAAAATATTTTTCAAATTAGTTAAATCAGGCGTACGCAGCAAATAAGACTAAAAATATGCTTCTTATAAGCAGATTCTGCTTTTCATAAATGAAAAGTTGGTTCTTAATATTCATTATTTTAAAACATAAATCACAAAATTATTAAGCATAATGATTCTTATTCAATTCTGATATATTTTTTAATGTTTATGTTATAATTTTTCCTTTGAAATTAATATATAATTAATATAATATATATATTCCTCCCCCCTCAGAACTCATGAATAAACAGTCAGATAGAAAACAGTGTTAAAACTTGTTCATTACCGATATGATTAAAAATACTTCTTATAACTGATTATGCTATTTCACTCCTTACTAATCATTAACATTTAAATGCAGCTAGCTGCACATTAATATAATAATTTTCTTTGGAAAGACCATACATTAAGCAAATTTATGATTAAAAATACTTATGACTGATTATGCTATTTCACTCCTTACTAATCATTAACAATGTTAAATGCAACTAGCTGCACATTAATATAATAATTTGCTTTGGAAACACCATACATTAAGCGAGTTTTTACATATTGTGTATTATAATTGAAAGAAAGCAATAAGTACTCATTTCAAAATTTATTACACAACACACAAATTTCAAAACAGAACACTATAAAACCAACATAGTAAGACTGTATCAATCTTTGAGGAACTTATTTCACTCATTTCAAGCTTAGAATATAACATGCAATCATGAAATCAATTTTATTTACTTATCAATATATTTACTTGCTTCAGAAAATCAATAATAAGTTTTGATAATCCCAAAATTATATGAGAAACTTATATAAATATGATTTCTATTCTAGAACTCTTGATATTAAAATATATAAATAAAAATTCTTAAAGCAGTTTTATTGGGTACAATTTTACATTAAATATCCATAAAATGTTTGATATTTCACGGTGCTTCAAAAAGCTGTACAGAAAAAATGACAGCACAGTTAAAGATAGGTGTTTTAAAATGTAATTTAATAGTTCCTTTAAAATGAAATAACAGACAATTTCTGATAAAAAAATATATAATCACAATAAAAATAAAATCATAAGATCTCTACTTTACATGATCCCTTCCTACAAATCTAGTTCAATTTCCAAAGTTCGATGAAAATAGTTTCAGAAAACATGAAAGGACTGTACCAAAAGGACAAATTAAATTTCTTTTCTTCAGTTCTATGGGATTTTAAAACAATTCGTGAATAAAGATACCCAAATTACATAATCTGATGTTAAGTTTGAAAATATGATTTTTTTCTTATTTTCTATTTTATTTTCATATGATTACTATTTATGAAATGATACTGTACATGTCAGACAAAAAGGGATAAAAAAAATTTAGCACAGTCATTATTAGTGGCACATCAATGATTGTCCTGTAGCTGGAATATATAATATGTGGCATTAAAATTTTCTTTCATAGAACACACTAATAGTGTAAATTTTACTAAAATTACTAATTAGGTATCTATTTTACCAATTAGATATATTAAAAAAATAAAGATAAAAATTATTAAAAAGTATCTCTAATGCTTTTAAATTGCTCACTAGGTTACTAAAGCATTTTAGTTTCTCATTTAATTAAATAACCAGGAGAAATGCAGAGAATGATCAGGAATCTTCTTCCACCAATGTCAGTAACAAAGGGTTTCAACTTATTATCCAGCCTGAGCTACTGATTGAAAACATCAACTTAACAATGTGAATAAAATTCTGGAAATGTGTTCAACAAGGTGTTGCAAGAATTAATTGTCCAGATGCAGATGATAGCAGCTTATGCCAAAAAATCAACAGTGTATACCAGGATAGGCTACTTTTCCATATGCTGAAAATATTACAAATACAGATATTTTTAATTTTTTTTAACATATTCATATTAGGTTTGATTTAGGAGTGGATTTAATTCAAGGTTCAATATATGTTTCATACAAAATAAATTTTCAATCTAACAATGGTAATGATGTAAACTGCTATCAACAATAATTGTAAGTGAGCATGATAGAATATATGTGTATTCCTGACAAGAACAAAGCTATAAAAGTATCAAAATGCAAGTACTTATGATCAATTATAATCAACTATTAGAAGGATTAATGTGGAAGAAAACCTGTCAATTACATTTTTACTGATATTTATCTCCTGCTATTTAGAAATAAATTGCTTAAAAATTTTTAATTTTCTTTTTCAGTTATTTCAACCATATCTTTGCTGCTACCAACAGTATGAAAAGGCTAACTAAACAATACAGAAATATATATATAGCACTATCAATATTACATTTGGGATTTATTTCCTTCTTTTCGTTAAAACTTAGTAGATCTAGATTGTTACTATAGTGTAAAGACAGGTTACCTGGAAGTTCATGGACCAAAATGGTCCTTTTTTCAGCCTACAGTAAGATTAACAAAATTTATTTATCATTACCATTATTCATTGCGGACATTGTGATGTACATGCACTAGACCATTCAGTTGGAAATCAGAAAAGTTCTATTAAATATTCCATGCATATCCAATACTATTGTTGGCTGTACAAGGCAGTGGTCTTCAGCTAATAACAGATGGTGCTTGCATACATGACCCCTGCATCAAGAAACAGCAGTGAACTGTTGTCAGATTTTTTGCATAGCAAAGGAGAAAATATAAAATATAAAAGAAGGAAGCAATAAAAAAGGGAAGAGGGTTTTTTTAACCTGTACAAGTTCATTGTTGCATGAAAATTTAATACAGTGATAAATGTACGAGTTTTTATACAAGTCTCTGAATTAACTGAGAAGACAAAAACTGGAATCATCTCTGTGGAGGATTCTCCTTCTCTGATCCAGCAACTACAGATGACAATTATTATAGATTATAGCTAACGCGATATGAATGTGATACATGAAAGCCCAGTCAAAGAATTTATGACTACTGGATCAACCCATACCATGAACTGATGATCCAAAAAGTGTGCACAAAATGGATACATAGGCACTTGATACCTGAAATAAAAAACAGACAAGTTGATGCTCTCTTAGAACTTCTTCATTAGTACAAAACTTATGATGAAGTATTTCTGCAGTATAAAATTACTCGAGATGAGAGCTGAGTACACATCTTTGTGGAACAGAGTTCTCAAGTGCGGGATAATGAGATTCACTGGTGGTACCTGTATAGCTGAGCACCTATCCAAGAGAATTTCTTCTAGAGTATGTACACAAACCCTGATAGTGCACTGAACTAAATGAGGAATTTATTGTACATTCATAAACGCTCATTTAAGTGTTTGTAATAAATATATTGTAAGCAAAAAATTCTGTTTTCTCACCAAGGGCAGCAATATTTTTATATTTTTGATCATCTTAGTACCATCATCAAGACCTTAAGAAAATGTCAACAACATTGAAACTGACATTTGTGAAGCTGCTACTTGACATAGGTACTCATAGATTTCTCATTAATTTGTGTTATGTTTTAAGCCCTATAATTTAAGGTCAAATATTTTATGAAAAACCTATTTAAAATAGCATTTTAAGTTTCTTATGAATGTAATCTTAAATTTTGTCTCAGTAGGGTTCTATCTCGAACATATGTTAACAAAGATAATTTTAAAATTATACTTCTACTATATTGAAATAACCCATGTTTATACTTCCAAGATGTATTTTTAAATAACACATAAATCTTATGCGGACTCTATATGACTTCCTTGTATGGTTTGTTACATAATAGTACACATTTTTTGCTGCACTTCATTCAAATTTATTTCCTCAAATTATTCTAATTTAATTAATCGATTCCTCAAGGCAATTTGAAAGTGGCATCAAAGACTGCAAATTTTGAATCTAAATATACTGGTAAATTTTTCTTATATGAAAATCAAACTTCTTATAATTTTATTTTTTTCATAACAAGTATAAAACTTTCCCAGGTATAAGAACCAGAAGATTAAAAGTTAGATTTCGTTATTCATCCAATTTTTCCCTGGGCGGGGGGGGCATTGCCAAAACATGAATATTTTCATCATTTAAAACACCTCTGTAGTTGGTAGTGTATAATTATGACCAATGATTGTGAAAATAAAGGTCAGGTATACATACTCCTTATCCAGCCTTTATATATATAAAACATATATGTGTATAAGTTGTACGTACTGATAGAGACACAGATTAATTTGATTGTTTTTCTAAGATTATTTTTAAATTTTAAACTTTGTCAGTTCTGAAACAAGCTATTTATTTATTTACTTCTTTTATTGAACCAAGCCCCTGATGACAATACAATGAAAGACGTAAATGTCATTTTTCATTTGAGCATGATTTAGCCCCCTATTTCTCGAGGTTCACAACTGTGCTTCTGTTATCATATACCGGGTGTCCATAATTAAACTGACAGTGCTCACAGTGTTCTGTAGCGCGATCTATTTGCGAGAATGATGCCACATTTTGTAGGAAGATTAAACAAGATGAGGGACGAAGGATTCCTC